TAGTAGTCGCCGCCGTCGTCGTAGCAGCAGTCGTTATCGTAGTCGTAGTCTTGGTCGTCGTAATAGCAGCAGGCGTAGTTTTAGTAGCAGCAACATACTACTCATGATGCTACTAGTTGCAGCGACAACCATTAAACCACCGTTGACCACTTGACAGTTCTGAAAGGTTCAAGGCAAGCTGCGCTTTGCTCATCTTCGAGAAGGATCCTCAGCAAGACAACGACGGCTTGAGATTGCAAGTCGATGACCAGCACCATCTGACCTATGCAAAGCCTGTGCGAGCCTCAAAAGATCTGCTGAGCAACTCTTTGAGTGCCGTGGTCAACTTGACGCTTATCCCTGAGCCATGAACCCTGCGGGCTGCAAGCGATTTCTCACAACCTTGCTGACCAGCCAACCTTTGCATCTGCTAAGATGGGGGGTATGAGGTCATCAGTACTGTCATCAGTATGACGATGGCTACTGTGCACTACATCCTGACGTCGACCAGGGTAAAGTCACATGTTGGGAGACTACTTGCCAAAAATGGGGAGGTGGGGAACTTGCAACCTGGATGCCTGCGAGGTTGTAGAACTGGACAGTGTCCTCTCCTTGTCTGAGACTAACGCTTGGGGCTTCGGCCCTGGGTTTAGGGGCTTTGGGGCTTTGGGGCCGATTGCGGCTTCTAGGTGTAGTGCTTGGTACTCCAAGCCAAATCTGAGACACTGCTCATCCTCGACACGGCTTGGTGCCAGGGTCAAGAAACAAAAAGAAATCTGAGCCCCNNCCCCCCCCCCCCCCCCCCCCCGGCTAAAATGACATGAACAAAGAGTCGGCCTAGCAAGGTTGGCAGCAGCCTCGACAAGGACGACGACAGTAGGAGCAACATCGAGCACGACAAAGACGAAGCAGTACTAATCACCACGCCAACTGCGACAACCCCGACCACAACCACCACGACCAAAACTATTGCTGCCGCCAAAACAACTGCACGATGGTGGAAGTGTTGCAAAGCACTGCTTACGAACGAGGCATCCAGAATCAAACAAGAGGTACATCGTTTGCGACGCAACCATCACTGAGCAAACGCAAGAGTCACCGGAATGCAAGTAGTGACGGCGACTATCGTGGCGATCGCCGTAGGCCTAGGAGCGATAGCAGCACTTACGGCAAGATGGGTGGTGGATGGTCGCTACCCTCCCCTTGCCGTCAGCATCATCGCGGCCATGGTGGTGATGGTCGTGGGAGTTGTGCCGCGGAGATTTAGTTCGTGCTGATTGAGATTCCCGGCTGTTGAAGGGTAGAGCCGGGACTAGACAGGAAGCGCAACATCCTCAGCACGTGCAAGATCAACAGTCGAAAATGGCCAGAACCCAGGCAAGGATCCTTGCTGCGCATCCGGTCTGTCGGAGGTAAGCTCAGCCTCCACTCAAGGACTCTGCTGGTGGAGGGACCGGGAGTTTACTTCTCTGCGTTGTGGGGTTTAGGGTTTAGGGGTTTAGGGTTTAATTAGGGTTTAGGGTCACATTCTGGAGCTGCTTGGATGTCGAGTTGTCGAGACGATGAGGGCTATGAGGGCAAGGGACGAGGAGAGGCAAGCACAGACAAAGAGAGAAGTGGAAAACGAAGAAGCGCCCACGCCCTTTCTAGTCACAAGTTGAACGAGAAGGGGGACCGGCAGAGGACTATAAGCAAGACAGGAGTGCTCTTTAGATTCTGTCTAGCATGGCTTAAGGCCTAAGTTTAAGACTCTTGTGGTGGCAATGCCTTCAGCAGTCCCTTTTTTTAACATCGTGGTCTTGTATCATCGCGTGGCTGCCTGCAGGAAAACAGAGTTTGCAAGGATCTTCCAGGGATGTCAACCCTAAATAACCCCAAACCCTAAACCCTGAACCCCAATTCCTAAAGCCCTAAACCCTGTACCCTAAACCCTGAACCCTAAACCCTGAACCCTAAACCCGAAACGCGCCTGAAGCGTCGGCTGAGAGACCGCTTCCAGCCTCGGATCGCGGCAGCAGTCTTCGGGTAATTCTCTCAATCAGGGCTCATTGTTTTTGGGGGTCCCTTGAAAAAGGAGCTTTCAGGCGTCTCTTTTTGGGTTTCTATAAGGGTTGCAAAGGGGCAGTTCTCTAAATGAGGATCTCCGTTTAAAGGGGGTTCTTAAAGGGTCTCTTTTTGGGTTTCTATAAGGGTATTCATACAGGTTCTATATGGGCAGTTCTCTAAATTTGGATCTCCGTTTTAAGGGCTCCTATAAGGGTATTTATTAAGGGTTCAACTTGGGTAGTTCTCTTCATAAATAGGAACCCAGAGGAAGGCGGCACCCGTATAGCAAGGAACCAGAGAGCCCAATATCCCTTAATTAAGGACTATGCCTTAAATCACAGGGGCCTTATTACTATGATTTAAGGCATATTCCTTAATTAAGGGGTATTGGGTTCTCTGGGGAGCCTGAACGGGACCCTCGTTTAGGGAACGACCCATTCCTGTCAAGACAACGGGCACCCCTTTTTTTTCCTTGTAGTCAGTTTGAGACGGAGATACCATATCAAGGTTATACAGAGGGTCTACGGGTGCTACTTCCTGAACCCCAAACCCTACACCACCTCCTAAATCCAAATGCCTTGAAGGAAAAACGATACCGTTAGGAACCGAGATGCTCCTAGTCTCAGGTATTCTGTCATACTTTTATGTGTGTGTAAAAACAAACAAAAATATACATATATACATATGTATATATATACATACATGTAT